TCAACTCCCAGAAAAAATAAATTTTAGAAAGAAGGAGGGAGTCAAACTGGGCCGGGCCCTTATCGTAGTGAAGAGACATGTTAATGTTGTGGAGGTATTGAATTACAAAAGATTGGTATGGCCCCATTCGGAGACTGGAAGATTCATCCATAGCTTATCTTTCGAACTGAATTGATCCCGGCTGCTCTGAGAACTCTGATATGTCTCCACAACTGTGTTGTCATTACCGTTCTGTGTATATATTGTATACTTTGTTTGAAGATAGTTTCAAATGTCCCTGGGCTGCAGTAGCCTCTTGCCATCAGGTGTAAGTTTGTATATGGTCTATGCCTTTTCGAAAACAGACTTGTGAGGCTGAAAGTAGTTAAGTCTGCGTGCGAGACGATTCGCAACGACTCTCGAAAACAGCATATACATAAAACCTGTTTTTTATCGAGCTAGATAAAGTAAAGAGAAGAAAAAAACATATAAAATTTTACTTTAAAACACGATTTTACTATATTAGCGCATTTAATTTATTCTATTTCTTCTTGTTACGAGTGTATGGGTGGTACCATAGAATACATTATCGTAATTAATCAATAATGTTGATAAGTTGGTCACCGGTGGAGGTGGTGTAAGAATATCCACGTCCCCATATTGTCCCGAGGGTGTCATACACCATATGGCGATGGGAAAGAGAGAAACAAATCAGGAGAAAGGCAGCAGTGTCTTCCTAATAACAACTATAACTGTTGAAACGGCAGTTGCCGACCCGCCTACCAAGCGTAGCTTTTATAGCAAAAGTCTCTCATATTATGAGGCAATCAATGGGGGAGGCTTTCGTTCAACAGTGGACTTTTGATAGGCTGTAACCGTTGATTAGTTGATATGTTGTTATAGTTCACAACTACGACATGATTTTATTTCTAGTTTATGTCTTAGAACTCAGGTACTTATTAAGTGGCGAAGCTTGCGAAGTCACTTATTGATTTCACGATGTTTGTCCGTCTGTCCGTCTGTCCCACGATTATCTCGAGAACGGTTTCGAATTTTCAAATTCTGTTTTCAGCAATCGATTACTGATCACCCAGGCATATTTTGAAACTGATTGCTCAACGGCAACCGTTAGAAACCGCTACAAAGCTGATTGCTTCGCCACTTTGCTATGCTGTTGGCTTGCTAGGTTTATTTCTATTTATATCAAAGTTCTTCGACGAAAAGATTAATAAAAATGTTAAAAAATTATAATGTTGTAGAGTGCACTTTATACGTTTTGTTTCTGTAATATATTGTTATGAAGAATTGATTACTAGATTACCTTGAACGGTCACCTTAAAATATTCTGGGTGCAATGAAAAGCAGGGCCAGTAACTTGTAAGCTATCGATTTTACGTGCCTAAAAGTAATGTGATGGTTTTATTCTTCTGACTTTGAACTTATGTTTATAAATCGAAATATCAATATCAAATACCAGACAGTCTACATGTTGGTTCATTTATATTTCAACCAATTAACACTCAGTCCTATTGTGGAAGTATAGGATGACAAAGTGAGCCAATGGATTAAATTTTTATCATCCTTGTCGTCATCAACCTGTAAACGTACGACATCTATAAATTAATTCCTCGAAGAAATTTGCAAATCGCCGCATTTGATTTGCGGGTTAGCGATTGCAATACCAGACGCTGTATTATTTAAACATTGATTGCCAGATTGAGGAAAATATATGGTTCTAACATTTCATTAGAAACTAAGGTGAGGGTCGGCGGGCTGACGTCGTGACGGCGCGTGTCCCACCTAATTCGAATAGTTATTTATGCTATTGTAATAGGACTGTATTTTAGTCATGTTGTCACCACTCTGTACTAAGGCCTTAGCCTAAGACCTCGCGCCACTTCGAAGGAGCCTTTAGCGTGACGACATGTTTTTATAATATGTAAACTCTTTCTTTCTTCTTTATCTAACCGTAAAATGTCTGGCGACATGGGCCTCTCCCTGGAAGAGACTTCCATTTGTAAGTAGAATTTGCCAAACATACCGTGATTGACAATCGTGGTACAAGACGTCTCGCACTCGCACCTCACTCGCACCACACTCGCACCACACTCGCACCACACTCGCACCACACTCGCACCACACTCGCACCACACTCGCAACACACTCGTAACACACTCGCACTACACTCGCACCACACTCGCACCACAATCCCACCACACTCGCTCCACACTCCCGCCACACTCCCGCCACACTCGCCCCACACTCGCACCACACTCGCACCACACTCGCAACACACTCGCACCACACTCGCACGACACTCGCACCTTTGTGCCGCTACTCGTTACCCGTCGCCGGTTTAAGTACCTATTTTACGTTTGGCGTAAATCAGATGAGCTGCCTATACACTTAGGACACTAACACAACATGAACATGTGGTAATTTAATAAAAGTTTATTTGCGAAATTAATTATTACAGATTCTTGTATGTGGCAACACGAATAATAATTTATGCATATTAGATGTCCTAAATAGCTTAACGTATAAATAGCGATCGCACACTGACCTATAAACAGTAACGTAGTTCATTGTTATTCTAGTTTTCGTCTTTTTAATCAAGCATTCTTTGCACGTGTGATGATATGTTGATGCAATCGAGGATTTGTTTCTTCACCTTGCCTTCCCACCGGTTTATACCTACATTAGGGTCATTCATTCATTTGGGTGTTATTTACATCAGTTGTTTAGTTAAAGTTAAAGTTACAGCCCTCAGTTCTGGAACATTATGGAGTAGTCAGTCGTTGCGTGTTTGCTGATTTAACATGTTCTCGTTTCTTAAATATGGGTTCCTCACGATGTTTTTCTTCACCGTCAAGCACGTAATAAATGAATATTTAAAATTCCATTAAACAGTTTTTTTGGGGCTGGCGGGATCGAAATAATACTTTATTACTATGATATCACTTCGGAAATTTATGAAAAAAAAAACATTTCTATGCTTCCGTACTCAAAGGGCAACTAACGGGAAGCTATTACTAAGCCTCCGCTGCCCGTCTGTCTGTTTGTCAGCGGGCTGCATATCATGATCCGTAATAGTTAGACAGTTGAAACTTTCACATAATGTGTATTTCTATTGTCGCTATAACAGCAAATAATAAAAATTAAAACATATTAAAAACTAAAAGGGGCTCCCTTCATGCGCGAGTCTGACTCGCACTTGGCCGGTTATTAATCGATTAAAAGCTGATTTTGCAACCGTCACATAAAAGTTATCTATCAAATAAATTATGACCTGACCGTAAATAAAGGTGAACCAATTGAATTATTTTATTCGTACAACTGTATATAATGGTTTTATTTTATTTTATGAATAACTTTTTATCTGGTGATTTAAAAATCGGCCCTAAGTAGTTATAAATATTAACTTATATAGGGAGTTATTATTGTAAATTTAATAATAATTTTAATTCATACATTAATGATTAAGTAAGTACGTGGTAGATGAGCTGGTACTTCGTTACAGCGTGTTATGACTGTCTCACCAGAGCATCGGTTCGGCAGGGAAAGGGCCTCGTACTTTCAAGAACCGGAGACCTCTTTTACTACTAAAAAAGCATTTAGAATCAAAACGCATTTGCATTTTGATACTTAATCGAGGATACATATATATATAAAAATTAAGTGTGAATTGTTCATTATTTTCCCATATCATAACGATAGGATAGTAGTATTATCTTGTTTTAGCTTATAATTTCCGTAACACCTCCCTCTGCAAACACGGATTCCGAATGCGGGTGTAAACATCTGCAACATCCCTTTAATTTAAATCATTTTTAAGAAATGTAATGTAAATATCTAAAAAAAAGTCTTGACTGACGTTAGTTACATACGTTAAAAGTATTGTCGTAATTAGTGAATTATAAATGAATGTTATTAAAGTGCTTATCAGTCGTGTTTTCCCAGCGTGTAATATAACACCTGAAACCAAGGTCGATTGTTGTTACGTTACACAGGCCTTGTTAGACGGTCTGTTTGTTTATGGATTACATTATGTTGTAGTTTGTAGCATTGTATTACTTTAATATAAGTAAACATTTTCAACTTCAAGCTATGTAGGACTTTTTATCCTCAAAGCCATACATCCATCATAATCTCAATATATATTTAACGCCTCTGTGTATTTTCGTTGCGGAAGATATAGAAGAGCCTTATCAAATTGAACGAAAACGTTTCCTCGTTTAAAATGTGAAAATATTTGCATTTGGATTTTTGTGACAGATGAATCAGCTGATGCAATCTGGAATCACGGTAATCACCATTTAGTTGCGGTGTAAGAATATCCTCTACGCCATATCATCCTATAGGTGTCGTAACAGGCGACAGCGGGAAACAAATCAGGACATGTGCAGAAGCGTATCTCTAAAAACGACTAAAAATAAATAACGGCGGTTGTCAAGCCGCTTACCAAGCGTGGCAAATATGGCAATTATCACCCCTATGAGGCAATCTATAGGGGAGGGGGTGGGGGCTATGTTCAGCATTGAACTTAATAGGCTAATAGGGTACGGCTAATAGGTAACGGTAATATGGAACAAGCGATCAATGCGTCTAATATGGAGAGATCCATGCCATATATATTGTCCAGCCCTATGTATATACCAGCTACCTATGTGAATACCAGCGTAAAATAGCAGCTTAATACTGCTGTGTTTCGTATGGTGAGTGTAGAGAACCGGAGACCCTTTTTACTGGAAAAGAGGCATTCCATCTTAGTCCTCACGGGTGACAACGCATCCTGCCTTTTGATTCGCAAGCGAAAATAGATGTAGATGCATCGATCATTAATAATTTTTATTAGTGATCGATGTGTAGATGTCTATGGGCCACAGCAACCACTTACCATCGGGTGGACTGTGTGCTCGTTTTTCACCCTATCCTATTAAAAAAAAAGCCAAAGTATAATTAAGTACGTCAAAATTACATTCCGTTTTCACTCTCATGTATCAACAATTTATAATCTATAGGAGGGACCACACTCGACGTTGCCCGATGACGAGTTCTACGATGCTGTTGAGACTGGATTCGACAAAATGGAAGAGGAGAGATGCGCACGCGTGGTGCCACCTGCAGAGCGTACGAGGGACGAGGTCGAGCTGCCGCCACCGGCCATCGACAACCGTCTTACCGTGCACCCCTTATGGCCTGAGGTATGGCTACATAAATATTTCGGCTTCTGTGATATTTTTGTTGTTAACTAGGACTTTTTACAGCTTATGCAGATGATTGTCATTTGCATGCTCTAGCAGATCACGTGGGAGAAGTAAGACTTGAAGAAATGGTACGAAGGGCCTTTGTGAGTAGTGGTTGATGCCAAAAAATTATATTCTACAAGAGACACGAATCAATGAAATTCAAGCTACATTTAAAACGGGCCGCTAACTATCGTGTAACTCTGCCTATTGTAAAATTTTCCCTGTCTGTGGAACCTCTTTAGCTTATGTCTGACGCCCACTGGATAGGTGGTGCAACTATCTGAACAAGGCGACTAGAAGCAACTAAAGAAGACTAAAATTACTCTTGGTGAGCCACGCACTGCAGCTATATTATAGTTGTAATACGAATGGCTCGGCTCGATCGGGTAAAGACCTCACTCTTATAAAATACCAACGTAAAATAGCACATTAATACTGCTGTGTTTCGTATGGTTAGTTAGATGTAAACGAGGCATTCCATCTTAGTCCACAGAGGTGACATCGATTTGCATTTTGATTCTTAATTGAGGATAGATGTCGATATCTATGAACCATAGCATCCACTTACCATCAGGTGGACTGTGTGCCTGTTTGTCACCCTTATTCTTATATAAAAAACTAAGCTAAGCATCGCGCCTTTGGAGAACATTATGTCCATCTCTGGATTGCTGGAGTCTGATGATGGTGACGAGTTCGCTTCCTAATCTGTCCCTTAAAAAATCTGTTTATTTTACAAATATTTGGTTCTGGTTTAGTTTTGAAACCCTATGCTAAGTTGTGAAGGCTATCTAAACATGTATTATTATTTATTACTGCTGAAGTATGTAAGCTTTTTATAGATAGTCGTGACGCTTACATTATTATTTATTCAGATCGCATGTAATTTGTTGGCGATCAAGTGATCCGTACCGTATTGACTGTTTCATTTTGACCTTTATACCTTCATTATATTCCAATCTGGTTGGCTGGGTAAAAATCACTTATTGGGTTATTCTATCAAGCAATTCTCGGTAGCCGCGGTTCTCGGTAGGTAGAAGTTAGCGGTGTTTCAACTCCGAGCCTCGGAAAACAAGTAAAGTCGTTGGTCCTGAGCCTGACCTCTATCCAGTCGTGTCGGATTGTCTTCCCATCGGACTATCAGCACAGTTTAAACTTATACTCTTATAAACTGTGCTATTGAAGCGAGTGAGTAGTGAGTGCACCTGTGCTTCCGAACACATTCACACACTATAATCATGGCCTGTTCAAATGGCAAGTCTCCGCTAAGACTAATCGCCGTGACCGTAAAACGCTCTGACGGACATTACATTATATTCCCATCAGACATCTCTGATATTACAATCATACTTTTGTTCACATTTACTATAATATGCTTATTTCAATAAGTTGTTAGATCCATTGACATACGTCTCATATTTTAGCTATAACTGCACTTATAACATATTAGAAAACATCTAATATATAATCTATACATCTGAAAATTGAAGTGTCTGTTTGTAATGTCAAAATAACAGTTTTTTACTAAATGCATATGAAAGTACATACGGTACTTATAACAAAAACACAACTTTAAAAAATTTTGTCTGTCTGTCTGTTTGTTTGTTCCGGTTAATCTCCGAAACGGCTGGACCGATTTCAACGGGACCGATTTCAACGGGACTTTCACTGGTAGATAGCTGATATCATAAGGAGTAACTTAGTCTACTTATATTTTAGAAAAAGAAAGAGTTCCACGCAACATAATTAAAACCCAAAATTACAAGCGGGCGAAGTCGCGAGGATCAGCTAGTACTAAATATGTACGAGTATAATATCGTAATGAATCGATTACATTAATAACAAAAAGCCATGTTGAAAAGGTTGATATAATAAGTGACGGCCACAGGGCGCAGTAGCTAAGCATTGATTTGCGGCGCTGAGGGCTGCGGGTACGAACCTGCACGGAACAAGTATTTGTATGGCCTGCAAATCATTGTTCCGGGTCTGGATGATTGTTCTTGTGCAATTTATGTATGTAAACTGCTTCCCGATGCATAAAGAAATCCTACTGTGGAGGAAACGTTGTTATAGAAAAAAATAAGTATGAATGGATATTCTTACGGCGTTATCATATACGACCATATAGTAAATTGACGTAATATCATGACGTCGATTGGTGGTTGTTTGTCTTCCTCGAAAGATTTGTAGTCAGTGTTGACATCCGGATTTTTTTTTTTTTTTATAGGAGAGGGGGCAAACGAGCATGCGGCTCACCTGATGGTAAGTGACTACCGCCGCCCATGAACAACCGCAACACCAGGGGAATTGCAGATGCGTTGCCGGCCTTTTAAAAAGGAGTAGGCTCTTTTCTTGAAGGTCCCTAAGTCGTATCGGTCCGGAAAAATCCCTGGTGGTAAACTATTCCACAAGGAAGTTGTGCGAGGAAGAAAACATCTTCTAAATCGCACAGTGGTGGACCGCCAATCATCCAGATGGTGTGGATGGTATCGGGAATTCTGCCGCGATGTGCGTTCGTGAAATTTGGCGGCTGGGATTAATCCGAACAATTCCTCAGAGCACTCCCCATGGTAGATGCGAAAGAAAATGCAAAGAGATGCAACATCTCTTCGCAGTGCCAATGAATCGAGCCGATCGGAAAGGGCTCGGTCGTCGACGATTCGAGCCGCTCTGCGCTGGATGCGGTCAAGTGGAAGGAGCTGGCACTGGGGAGCCCCTGCCCAGAGATGGGAACAGTATTCCATGTGAGGCCGAACCTGCGCCTTGTAAAGTTGCAGGCGGTGTGCCGGCATGAAATACTGTCCCGCTCTGCTGAGCACGCCAAGCTTTTTAGAGGCCAATTTGGCCTTCTCTTCCAAGTGACCACGAAACTGCACGTCACTCGATATGTCGACTCCGAGGATACCGATACTGGCTGAGGCAAGAAGGGGAGTGCCTTGAAACTGAGGAGATACGACAAAGGGGTTCTTTTTAGCGGTAAACGCGCAAACTTGTGTCTTCTGAGGATTAAACTGGACTAGATTTAGTCGCCCCCAATCCGAGACTTTGTCCAGCAAAGACTCGACTTCAGACACAAGTTTGTTCCGGTACTCGGCGACGTTTTCCCGAGAAATATTGGCCCGGCCGGTGTATAGAGCATCACCAGTGCTGTCATCCGCATAGCAATGAATGTTACCAGTTAGCAATATATCATTGATATGCAGAAGAAACAGCGTTGGTGATAGCACACAGCCTTGTGGAACACCAGCGTTAATAGGCTTGTAGTCAGAACATGCACCGTCTACAACGACCTTGATGCTCCGATCTGCAAGAAAGCTGGTGATCCAATTGCACAATTTCTCGGGAAGCCCATAGGAAGGCAGCTTCGAAAGAAGCGCTTTGTGCCAAACCCGATCAAAGGCCTTCGCAATGTCCAGACTAACGGCCAACGCCTCCCCCTTGGACTCTACTGCCTTCGCCCATCTATGGGTCAGGTAGACCAGAAGATCACCAGCTGATCGACCCCGACGAAAACCGTATTGGCGGTCACTAATCAGCTGGTGATCCTCAAGGTACCGGATGAGCTGGCAGTTAATAATGGATTCCATTATTTTGGAGAACAAGGAGGTGATCGCGATAGGCCTATAGTTGGACGGGTCTGAGCGGTCGCCTTTTTTAGGGATCGGGTGGACAAAAGCTGTCTTCCATGAATTCGGGACTACGCCTTGGGAGTAGGAGTACCGGAAAAGACGCGTTAGGGCCGGTGCCAACTCCGGAGCACACGTCCTCAGCACAATTGGGGGGATTCCGTCAGGCCCACTCGACTTCTGGATGTCCAGGGAGAGAAGTGCTTTGCGAACTGAGCGCTGTGAGAATAGCACATCCGGCATGGAGCACTCACACCGCGGGATGGTCGGCGGTATTTTCCCCCCGTCATCAAGAGTCGAGTTGGACGCAAAAAGGGAGCCTAAAAGGTCGGCTTTGTCTTTTGCGTCTTGGGCCAGTGAGTCGTCCTCCCTGTGCAGAGATGGTAGTGATGGCTTACAGAAATTCCCTTGGACAGCCTTGGCGAGAGACCAGAATGCACGGGTTCCCGAAGGAAGGCGAACTAGTTTCTCGCCAATTCTGCCTATATGCTCTGACTTTGCCTTGGCAATTACTCTTTTGAAGGACCTGGAGGCGAAGTTATACTTCTTTTTAAGTGTGCTGGTGTTTACATCCCGAGTCACCGAAGCCGCAGCCCAGGCTTGATAACACTCCTGCTTACTGCGCAATGCAGTCTTACAGGAGCGACCAAACCAAGGCTGAGATCTGCCTCCGATGGGTACCACAGATGATGGAATAAATAGTTCCATTCCCTGTAGCACCACATCAGTGACAGAGTCAGCAACAGCACTGGGATCATCCGGCGAGAAGCAAACCCGCCCCCATGGGTAGGATGCAAAGAAAGACCGCATTCCGTCCCAATCCGCCGACCTGTAATGCCAAACACGGCGGCAACCTGCAGAACGCAACCGCGAAGGGAGCGTGAGTGGCACCATACTCCGGATCAGACAATGGTCCGAAGAGCCGAGAGGGGCATCGACGGAAACCTGATATCCGTCCGGATGAGAGGTCAGCAGAAGGTCCAACAGGGAAGGTGTATGATCCTCCACATCTGGAATCCGCGTAGGCGAAGTAACCAGTTGTGTCAGACCATATGCCAAGGCAAAGTCATAAACAGATCTCCCCGCATGATCGGTTAAACGTGAACCGAGCCATTCGGCATGGTGGGCGTTAAAATCGCCAAGGATCACGATCTCTGCGGATGGGACCTGTTGTAGCAAGGAATCTGTAGCCATTTGGACGTGGTCGATGAGTCGGTCTGTTTCGGCATTACCGCTATGGGACCTATAGAGGCACCCGTAGACGCGCGGATGGTCGTCGCTGTCTACGCGTAGCCAAAGGATGGACAGGTCCGAACCTTCAAGACTGCCGAGGCGTCGAGAACAGATGTCCTCTCTAACATACACGCAAACTCCAGCCCGAGGCACAAAGGAGTGCTCCAATTTGTACCCCGGGTAGGAGAGATACGAAATATCAGTCGGAGAGGAAACCTGAGTCTCGGTCAAAAAGAGCAAGGCCGGCTTCGCCGTCTCGAGATGGTAGTGGACGGCGTTTAGGTTAGAGTGAAGTCCCCTGATGTTGCAGAAATTCACGGATAGCGTGGCAGGGGTCGCCTTAGTATTGGATGTGTTGACAATCGTAGTTTTAGAGGTTTCGCAACTTTGACGGTTTCTTTCTCCCTTTTAAAGGACCGGATATCCAGTCCGTTAACTTATTCTGTAGTCTGACTGATTTTTTTTAATACAATTAAGGTGAGCACACAGTCCACCTGACCTGATCCATACACACCTACCTACATCTATTCTCAATTAAGAATTAAAATGCAGATGCGGACTAAGATAGAATTTTTCATCTATGTATATCTTTATATATAAAAATTACGTGTCACATTGTTTGTCCGCGATGAACTCCTAAATTACTGAACCGATTTCAATGAAATTTTGTACACTGTGTGCAGTTTGGTCCAACATGAGAGATAGGATAGTTTTTATCCCGATAAGTGACCCCCAATTTTTTTATTGCTAATCTCAGGAGTTTTTTTTAGGAAAGCAAATGGTCGTTGGAAAGGGCAGAACAACGTCTGCCTGGTCAGCTAGTATAGATATATGTTTATATATTATATAAACCAATTATTGCCGTGCGTTAGCTTCGCAAAAACTCGAAAATGGCTTGACCGATTTTGATGACAATTTTGTGTTTTTGTGTGGGTCTCCGGATGGTTTAGATTCATAATTAGACCCGGTAGGTGGCGCTGTTGTCGAGATCCAGAAGTCACCCGTGCGAAGCCGGGGCGGATTGCTAGTAATCAATAAAAAGGGATCTCTGGTTCTCGTCACTCAGAGGATACACTGGTAATCACGTATTTTGTGCCGTTCACGCTCGCACAGAATACCAGAAACCGTACTAAATACCGCACAAAATACAGCGGTGATGCAATCATAGTACGCTGAGGCGTGGCTCTACCATGTGATGGTACAACATATCCATTAGTCCACGTTCTTCTATACTTATATTCTTATATATTAAAAACTTCGGGATGACAAAGTAATATTGATATTTACTTACGAGTGTAACAGAAATTCCTGTTCGTGTTGCAGATCGACAGGATATCAACAGAACAGATACAGGCTGCCTTCGAAGAGGTCGGTGGCGAAAACGGTTGGCAACTTTTCGCCGAAGAAGGTGACATGAGAATGTACAGAAGGTAATTATGAAATTTTAATAAAATGTACGTGTTATGAGTTTATGAGGTTTAATTAAAATTAGACAACAGAAGGTCAATGGATGAGCCCAATGATAAGGATTTCTAACTGATAAAATGAGCAACATGAATAAACATAATGTAATACTATATGAGATAATATAATATGATGTGCAATTCAGAATTTCTGGTAGAACTTGATAAATTGATTTTAAGGGTATAGTAAGATAAAAAGTCATAACTGCATGATTAGTGCATGAGATATTACTACTGTTACAGGGTATTAACAAAGAAAGTTAAGAAAAGAAGTTGTTGACTTTGGTTGGCATTTATTGGGAGTTGTAACCAATTGTATTTACTGGGATATTTCCTGTAAATTATAATACGAATTCTAACAGATTTGTAATAGTAACGCTTGAAATTTCACGATTCTGGTATGGAGAAACTACGCAATCTAAGAATACACGCGCACGATTTGAAAGAACGGTTTGTATTAGTTTTTTTTTTTAAAAACGTTACCTCCACACTAGAATTTTCTCCTGTATCGTGGTGGCAGTTTACATACATAAATTTAACAAAGACAAACATCCAGACCCGGAACAATTATTTGTAGGCCATACAAATACTTGTTCCGTGCGGGATTCGAAACCGCGGCCCTTGGTGCTGCAACTTATTGCTAAGCCACTGCGCCACGGAGCCGTCAAAAGTATATACCCGAGTAAATGTGTATACATACATACATACGCGTAGCAGGGTCACGATGTTGTTATATAAACACTGAAGAATAATTAAAATGTAGAAGCGGTAGTAGTATTGCGTATTTTGAAAGACTAGATCCGACAATCGAGTTATTAGCAATCTCGAACCACGGTGAATTATATCGGTTATCGATCTATGGTCTGAGTACCAAGAGCTACGACGCTAAGGGTCGGCTCCAAATCCGAAATTGTTTGTGATCTTGAATTGTGATCGTTGTGATGTCAGTGTCTCTGACACTGAAACCACAGTTAAGAGCTAAAAGTTGTGAAACGCCTTTGATGTCAGGTGATGCTGCCGCCCGCGTATGTATTTACTATTTATGCCTTAGTCGCATATATGCATAGGGGTTGTCACGAGATTAGGAATAAAATAATATTGGATATTATAATACTCATTATTATTTATTAACATTCTGTACATACTTATAAGTTAATAACATTTATCAAACAAGATCTTTTTTTTTATTACTACAATAAAAACATTTTTTCACTGCCAAATATTTTCGTGACACTTTACTAAGTAACTCATATAATTATAACAGTTTTACCATTTTAGATAATATATTTTTCGAAAACGGCACTTAATTTAGTTAAATAACTACTATAAAACACGCTCGCGTCAACCGCATGAATTGTCCATTGTACATCAGACTCAGTGGATTGCGCTGGCATAAGGTCGCACCGCCCTCTGCCCCGCAAGGTCCCTGCCGTTGCTCTGCACAAGTATATATTTGTTTCCCAAATGTTCTTTAAATTGTGCTGAAGCTATCTGTAATCGGTCCTTACACCGATCGTACTATAGAGTACAGGTTACGACTGAAGTCTAAGAAAACCTGAGAATTGAGTCTTAAGGCTTTCTTCTCTGTTGAAAGCCCTTCGCGTTTGGGGTTCGTTGTTTTAGTGTCATATATAGTTTTTAATAACATTATTTAGATTAAGGTAACTTGAATAATATTTTTAGGAATGTACGAGGATGCGTTTTTAAGTTCACGGAATGGGTAGGTAATAAGTGGGAACGTCGCTGAGGTACGTGCTAATTGAGCAACTCATTATTAGTATAAATACCGGGTATTATTGTAATTAGATCATTAGTGTTTGAGTTCACAACCAAACAAGTCAATCGGGAAGAAATTGTGAAATATGGAGAAAATCGAGTTCCGTGCCATTATAAAGTTCCTTACCAAGCGCGGAAAATCAGTTCAGACTATAGGTCTAATGGAAGAGATGCCATCCATTTACGGAGATTCTTGTTCAAGTAAAACTATGGTTTACAAGTGGCATACCCTTTTTAAACAATGCAGAGAGTCACTTGAAGACGACCCACGGCCAGGAAGGCCGATCGAGGTGACCACTTCGGAAATTATTCAAAAAGTCGAAAAATTTATACTAGAAGATGACCCGCCTAAAGAAAAAACAGCTCAGAAATGGTTGGAGTATTAGATACAACCATTTTCGAAATTCTTCATGACCATCTTGGCATGACTAAAGTCAGCGCAAGATGGGTGCCTAGAATGCTCACGCCACCTCAAAAGCAACAACGCGTGGAGTGTTCTCGTGCATTTTTGGACCTCTGTATGGAAGACAAAAATGGACTGTTGGCTCGAATTGTTACTGGTGATGAAACTTGGGTTCACCATTATGAAAATAAGTCCAAACAGAACTCTATGAAGTGGCACAAAAAAGGCACACCACCACCCAAGAAATTTAAGGTGGCACACTCGGCTGGGAAAATCATGGCGACAGTCTTTTGGGACTCAGAAAGAATCCTATTGATTAATTATGTATAAAGATAAAGGAAGCCATAAAGGAGAAAAGAAGGGCAAAATTGACCAAAGGAATCCTTCTTCTGCACGACAACGCGCCTGTTCACAAGTGCCATGTTGCGATGGCTGCCCTGCAGAAGGTGGGCTTAGTAATTTTGCCACACCCACCCTATAGTCCTAACCTGACCTGAAAAAAGTTTTTAATTGATGAAGAAGTGAAGGAAGCAGTTTCGGCGTATTTTTTAGACAAAGACAAATCATTTTTGAGGGTATACATAAGTTAATTGAAAGATCCGAAAAATGTATTAGGGTAGCAGGTGAATATATTGAAAAGAAAAATAAATTTGAATTTTTATTTCCATTCCTTACCCCCCATTCCGCGAACTAAAAACGCACCCTAGTAATGTTTATGTTTACAGGCGTGTGTTCTTATAGTTTATGAATATTTTGGCTTCAATAATTTTTCTTACAATTTTTGGAGGCGCGTGATTTATAAAAAAAAAATTGTTTCATAGGGAGGTGGAAGTGGATGGTATGGTGATGGATCCACTGAAAGCAATGCATAAAGTCCGTGGCGTGTCCGCCCGAGAGATGTGTCACTACTTCTTCAACCCACGCTACCGATACGAGTGGGAGAGTAAGTTGATAATTAAAAATATATCACATAAATGTTATATTACCAGCATTTTTAAATCCATTTCTGGACATTTTTTTTAGGTACGAGTATATATATCAGCGTTTTCTTCAAATGCCAGTCTCATCTACACGTTGTGCACACTGTTAATTGATGAATTCATACAAAAATGCTCGAGCCCAAACTTTACAAACTGGCTTTCCAAATAGTGTTTTAACTCACGAAGGCGGCCGAGCCCTATTTGTGCTTGTGATGTGTGTCTGACTGTAGAACTGACGCACACTAAAACAATGTTCATTTCTTCTTAAATTCACACGTAAGACCAACCCGCCATTGTAATATAAAAATATCATATGTATTTGAAATAATAATTCTACCTTATTAACCCAGAAAAATCCACTGCTGGACAAAGCTTTCCCTTTTGTAGGGTGGCTATGACTAAGCTAGGTAATGTAATAAGGAATGTAAAGTTGGTTTGGGTTGAAGTAACAATCAACACAAAGTCTTTTTATTTTATCTATTGCATTTACGGTCCACGAGTGCTAGTGCTATGATACCGCCACTAGAGTACACTTGTGACTTTAAAGATAGTCGCCATCGATGCGCTCCTACCATTTTACGAAGATTTTAAATTAATTCTTTCTTTCTAACAACAATGCCTGTAACTTTTAACCCAACAAAAAGAAATAGTATTACGTGTGACAAACGAGCACACAGTTTATCTGATGGTAAAATATTGTAACCCATAGACATAGGTACATTCATTCTCAATTAAGAATTTATATACAGATGAGTTGTCGCCCTTGAGGGCTGAGATGGAATGCTTTGTATCAAGTAAAAAGGCTTTCCGGTTCTCTACACTTATCATATGAAACAACATTATTTTGTTGATTCACTAAATGGTTTCTGGTTCTCTATACTCATCATATGAAATAGCATTATTCTGTTGTTTCACGCTGGTATTCTGTGAGAGTTTGGTCCTACCTGGGTCGAACTGTAGCACGTCATAATTGTTGAATTATTGCAGCGACGCTAGAGACGATGACGATCGTGGAGCAGGTGTCGCGGGACGCGCTGGTGTTCCACCAGACGTTCAAGCGCATCTGGCCCGCCTCGCAGCGCGACGCGCTCTTCTGGTCGCACGTGCGCGCCTCGCACGCCAACACCTACGCGGTCACCAACCACTCCACAACCAACCCTGATTACCCCGTAAGTGGAACTTTCCTCCTACTTCCAAAAGGGTAGTAGAGGCTGCTTCAAACTTTTTTTAAACTGATTTATATTGCAGAATCTTCTGCATCATTAGGCATTTTAATAAATTGTTTGTCACTGGCTGTACACGCCCCTAGCTGCCCCAACCTTTGTTGACGGGACTAGGGCCCATGAGTAATCCCATCGACGGGCAGCAGAGGGACGGGGCTAATGGCCATTGGGAAGAATTTCCCATAATACTAAGCTATATGGGAGAAGGCTAGGGAAATATAGTACTTACCTGTTTCCGATTCTTAGATCGCCCCAAGGCTCGGTCAGGCCGTAAGTGGGTGTGAGGTGCATGGCAAGTAGTGTTTAGTGATGTGTAAATGTCTGAGACCTGGACCAGCTTAGGCGACCAGCAGCGGCCGAGTTCCAGGCTGCCCCACAATGCTGCATCGCTCCAGCAGGCTGCACCGCTGGACCATTTCTTTCTTCATTGTCACTATTTTAGTCTATTAGCTTCATTGTACATTTAACTAACTTAAACTCGCCTAATTCCACATTCATCGTAGAATCGAACACGTGATACCCGACACAGTAAGGACAGTAGTTCAAAATTCGACATTCAATGTTCCGGATTCACTTATCACAAAATTATAAATAGGGACTAATGCGATCTCTTAATGAGTCATACGGTTCAGCGTTAAACACAACTAAGTTCCTTCATTCGACACCAAAACACCACGTCGCGAAAAGAATTCAAAATACGCCTCGTTGACACGTAAACTAACAAACCAACCAACACACAAAAAAGGGCACTTAACGCGACGGCACAATATAATGATTTCCAAACAATCAACCGGGAGACACTCTCGACCAAGGAATGCGTGGTTCGAATCCTAGACCGTATCTACTCGACACGCGCGTGGACAATTCCGCATCATCCGAACAAGTTAAATATTGCAAAATTCATATATCCACGTAGCGAAGTAACACGCCCTAAATCTAACTATCTGGACCTACACGGTCGCGTGAACTTCGACCGCGATAATCGAGATACGCGGATTCACCGCATCGCGGCCAGCGAGCTACTCTATCTTCGCCCACGCGTCGAGCCACTGCAAGCCGCACACGGCCGCCCCACCTGGCGGCGTTTTTTTCACCTACATACCATCGGGTGACGCGCCAGCTCGAACGCAATTGGATGGCGTTCAAAAATTACCAAATTTGGGCATAAACAAACCCCCGTCCCGGACATAAGGACTTATGTCCGCGAGCAAACCGACAAGCGGGACAGGGTCGCGAGGGCACGTTGCAAAACCGAATCTACAACCAAAACTAGGCCACCTTAGGCACCCCATCAGATCTTGCAACCCTAGCCACCGCCTCAAAAAGACAGCCCCAATGTAGGCAAGCCGGAGGGTCAACCTCTACTGGATGCCCTCCTGAGCATCGCAGCACCTTAACAAGTCCTGTACTGGATAGAAGTCCGACGACCTCTTTCAAACACCTATCTGTGCCCCTATGATTCGTTCCGCAATCCGACCGGATCAGGTCTGCAAACAGCGACGCGACACGAAGCGGCCCAGCGTGGCCTCCTAAGCTTCAGTACAGAGAACACCCACAAATTTCACATGAACGTCGTCTGTGGAGAGCCAAACGAAACGCACAGATAGTCCCTAGTATGAATTTTCAAACAAGTAGGCATAACCAAGCCATCCACCATATGATCATTTACTCAAATAGTGCGGCAGCTGATTTCAATCTGATAATCTCCAAACTAGCTAGCCTTTTAGACAAGTAGTCCTATGCTCATATTTCAACTAATTTTCAAAAGCATCACTGTTCAACTACAGAATTAATTCAAACAAATTAATCACTGATGCACCTATGTGACCTATGTCAAACTGACAAATTAAATTTATTATTACTTTCGGCATAAATAGGGTTATCCAATTTCAATTTTCTTTTCAACAAAACACAATGATAATCGAGATACGCGGATTCACCGCATCGCGGCCAGCGAGCTACTCTCTCTTCGCCCACGCGTCGAGTCACTGCAAGCCGCACACGGCCGCCCCACCTGGCGGCGTATTTTTCACCTACATACCATCGGGTGACGCGCCAGCTCGAACGCAATTGGATGGCGTTCAAAAATGACCAAATTTGGGCATAAACACTGGCCTTTAAAACGTGCATCAACTGGCATACATATCTTGGAAGATTTTGCCATGCTTACCACACTAGATAGGCGAGTTAATCTCTGCAGTGCCAGTGAATCTAGCCGATCTGAGAGGACTCAGTCGTCGACGGTTATACTGCTGGATACGATCAAAATTCAATGAGCTGGCACTGGGGTGCCCCCAGCCCAGAGATGAGAACAGTATTCCATGTGAAGCCCAACCTGCGCATTATAAAGTTTCAAGCGATGTGCCGACATGAAATACTGTCCCGCCCTCCTGAGCTCGCTATCTTTTTACAGGCTAATTTAAACTGCACGTCATTCGATATGTCGACGCCTAGGATTCCAACCCTAATTGATTATTAAACATATTTACGTTTTTAAGTATTTTACTATTGCTAATACGGGGTGTAATGGTCCCGCGCATCTTTTTGCTTACTGAAGAATTTTAATTTTTTTTTTATAGGATAAGGGTGACAAACGAGCACACAGTCCACCTGATGGTAAGTGGTTGCTGCGGCCCATAGACATCTACATCTATCCTCTATTACAAATCAAAATGTAGATGCGTTGTCACCCGTGAGGACTAAGATGGAATGCCTCATTTCCAGTAAAAAGGGCCTCCGGCCACCTGCACTCACCAAGCGAAACGCAGAGGTAAACCTCTACTTCACGCTGGTATTCTGTGAGGTCGTGGTACCACCCCGGTTCGAGCCGGCCCATCCGTGCGACAGCAAAAGCTACCGCGGGGCTCTACCACTGTTGAAAATAATGAAAAAGTTTTAATTGATTAAGATTAGTGCGCATCCAGACTTCAACCAAATAACATCTTTTAACCTCCCGAGTTAATTCAAGATCCCAATCAGTCAACAGCCAATAAACTGTTTAAGTTTAGGTCAAGGTCAAGGTTTAGGTAAGTTTAGGAAGTAGGTGTCGAAAATCATTTTTTTAAAAGTATCCTTGCCTTCAAACAATTCGCTTTGTCTCGGTGTGTCTCAGTATTAATTGCACGCTCTCCTTTTGTGTTTTAATATCGAATCTCAAAGGGTTCCGTATCGTTTACAAGTACGATTGTGTACACTCTCGCTGTCACTAAGTTTCACTCAAGCTCTGTTAACATACGAGAATATGTATAGTACGTGTGGCAAATAAGTCGTGAAGTAATGAAGCAATGAGATTGAGCTAAGTTGAATCTATATAATGGGATCCTAGTATTTAATATATTCGATGCATAGTCAGAGGCGGATTAAATGTCAACAGCGCCCTAGGCTAGCATCTCATCGCCGGGCCACTGGTGGCTATATAAATAATATAAATTATCACTACTTATTTCGCAAATAACCATATTGTAATTTATAATAAAGTTTAGTTGCAAAATAATTAGGTATCGTATCGGGTGGGCGCGAATGAAAACGTGATAAGAGAGTGAGGGCGATGTAGGAGTAATCAAATAGATGGGAAGCGCTATGGAAGCTCCACATCCCTATAGAAAGTATAATTTTTTATTTTATGTAAGTTGGTACATAAACTTTTTTCGTTTAAGAACTTCCGCGCGCGCCCCTTTGTTACCCTGCGCCCCTAGGCACTTGCCTAGTTTGCTTTAAGGATAATCCGCCACTGTGCATCATAATCATCCATAATCTCAAATCAATCCATTTTTTGTGGTATGTTTATTAATAACTGATGGCAACAGAGCAACAAACTCGATTCATCGCGTGCAGTGAAGGTTTACAATTGTAGAAAAATAATTTTACTCCCACTACACCACAAATTCTGTACCTGGCAAAAACTAACCAGTTCTTGCTTGTCTACGGCAATACAGATTTTTCTTTTTGATAGCTAATGAAAATAAAGTAACAAAAAGAATGCATACTAATCACAGATTTATAGTAGAGATATCTATTTCTTAATTAAACTACATTTTCAATTTCAAGACGACAAAAAGTCAAGCCACAACGGCAGGGATTTCCGTATATTCGTCCCTCTCGTCGGACTTCACGGGTATAACTGACCTATTATAAAATATATAATAAAATATATTATATAAAAGAAAAATCAGTGGTGGAAGCTAAAAGAACCATAACAGAATGGTTACTTACTCTGAGCTACGATAGTACAGAAAACCTAATTAAACCGTAATCTTTATCATAAATTTACGTAAATAAAATATATGAATACAGTATGTAATATCCATATGTAACTATAGGAGTTTCTAATTTATATATGTTTTATTATTATTGTAATATTTATGAATAACAGTATTTTCTTACTAACAATTTATTATTTTACCTCTAATTATTTTGTTTTTATACATATTAACTTAATATAAATATTTATTTTTATTTTATATTTTATTTTATTTAAAAAAAAAGCTTACATAACGTAATAACCGTACGTCGACCTAGTGTCAATTAATGAAAACCATAAGAAAATCGTATTAGGTCCTCACGACACAGGCATGCCTAGTGTGAGGACCACACTAGGCATGCCTACATACACCCTTGTTTATACACTCCAGCTTAGTTGGTGTGATAAGATCATAGTTTATAATTGTATACTAGAGAATTAAGACTACTGTACTTCCATTTTATTATCTTATATTGTATATTATAATCTGTACCACCTTAGCTGTAAATAAACATTTTTTCATTTTTTAATTTTATTTGATGAGAATGTATATGATCACACTAGGGCATAACCCTCTCGATCGAAGCATCTAGAGCGAGACCTAGCGGAGCACTTTTGCGAGAGTGTACAACCGCATAAGAAAAATCTTAAAATGGCCTTTTGTTCGTTGATATAAAGTTGATTTTGGCTTGCAGCCGAACGCGGGCGCGTGCATCCGACTGTTCGTGACGGTGTGCCTGGCGTGCCGCAGCTCGTGGCCGGCCGGCGAGCAGCCCACCCGCGACAACATCACCACCAGCATCGCCTACTGCAGCACCGGTAATAGCACTTTCCATTCATTCCTCACCATCCTTCATCATTATCGTTATCACAGTACACACTTGGACTCTTTTTTCGGCCGTTCCATCCGTCTGAAGTTTGTTTAGGCTGGGATCAGAAGTTATTTTAACTTTTTACACTTCCACAAGTACTGTAGTGAGTTAACTTGCGAACCTTTCGAATTGAGCAGAGAATCTCGTTTGAACGGCAATTAGTGAGTTAAGTAGCAAATTAACAATTAAGTTGAACAGGATAGTCGGCCGGTCTATTTTTCGGCGAGTTAAGTTCGAAGTGTTGCCTTGTGAACGAGCGAGTTTAGTTCAGTGCATAAGTTGACACGAAGAAATGTGATCGCGTTCGACCCTAAAAATATAAAATTGTACTTTTTTAAATTAAACTCGGCACGAAGACATTTGAACGCTACTGGTATTCCTTGGGGGAGGCCTTTGTTCAGCAGTGGACTTATGAAGGGCTGTAATGATGATGATGATCGTAATAACCCTTTTTATACAGTTTCAGCTTAACAAAACATTTAAACTTGGTAATAGAGAGATCCTGTACACTTTCCGGGACCTTGTTGTAATAGTGTATACATTGCCCCAAGAATGAATTACTGACTATGTGGAGTCGAGAAACTGGTATCACTAGCTTGTGTTTGTTCCTAGTGTTTATCTATCACTTTTTTTTACTAAAACTACCTTTGTTTTTGTGAACATACATTAAATTTTCGTAAATATACTGAGAGGCCAAAGTTTATATATTTATTTATTTAAATTTATCTCTCAGAGACTCTCAGTTTTAGATTGTAAATAGCTCTAATGGCCCTTTTCTGTAAAACAAAAATAGTTTCTGAATCAGCCGCATTTCCCTATAGCAAAATCCCACAAGACATTATGCTATGGTAATAACTGAAATAAACTAATCTAACTGTCTCGACACTAGTGAGACCTCTAATCTTTTTTACAGCATAGGCTGCAGAACTTAGTCTGCTTGCTAATTTGAATATATGGGGGCCCACTGAAGCTTTGCGTCGAGAGTGATGCTAAGATAAACAGTGGATACAACAGGACTCAGTTCCTCCCCATTTAAAAAGACATTGGTATTCAGATTTTTAACATTCGTTGTTGTAAATTTAATACAATTAGTTTTATCGCCGTTTAAATGTAGATTATTAACGTTAAACCAATGCACTAAATTTAATATGGCATTATTCATTTCGTCACATTTAAATGATTGACGTTTAACTTTAAAAATCAAGGAAGTATCATCAGCAAATAATACTATATCATGATTATCCCCTACAAAGGAAGGAAAGTCATTAATATACACTAGAAACAGGAATGGGCTGAGAATCGAGCCCTGAGGGACACCCATTAGTATAGCTGACCCGGAAGAACTTTTACCATTGATAATAAATTTCTGCATTCTATTATTTAAATGTGAAATAATAAGTTTAAGCGCTGTGTTCTTGACACCATAGTACTGTAGCTTCCTGATTAATGTCTCATGGTGAACACAGTCGAAGGCCTCGGAAAGGTCACAAAATATACCCAAAGCATCCTCTGAATTCTCCCATGCACAAAAAATAAGTTTAATAAGCTCAACTCCAGCGTCAGTTGTCGAGCGACCCCTTGTAAAACCGAATTGATTTTTATTTAGCAATTTATTAATATTAAAGAAACTTAACATCTGATCTAAACTTATTTTTTCAAAAATTTTACTAAATGTTGGTAGTACAGAAATTAGTCTAAAATTGGCGGGGTCTAATGTACTACCAGATTTAAATAAAGGTATAATTTTACTATGTTTCATTAAATCAGGAAACACCAGATTTAACGCTTGTATTAAATATAGTGGCTAGATAAGGTGCTATTATGTATATGATAGATAAAATAACTTTAACGGAAATCCTCCATAAGTCTGCCGTTTTCTTAACATCAATAGTTTTAAAATATTTAACGATATATTTTGGCAATACTCTATGGAATTTAAAGGTATTTGAACAAGCCTTTACATTTTGTTTAAGCAATGATTCGGCGACAGGCTTATGGGTGTATATACTTGGGTGACTTATGGGTGTGGTACATTAACATAACATTATACTTTTCTTCATACTGAGCCCATATGACTGCAATAATGTTCCAGGTGACTCCTGACTAGTGCGTCATACAAGGCTCTTAATGCAGTCATGTTGGTAAATCCTCGTGTCTGTCTTAGCACGAAACCTAGGTTCCGGTATGCCTTTTTACAAATATTAGTAATGTGAACGCGAAACGACAATTCTGCAGTAAAGCAAACTCTAAGATCACGCACCTGTTTCACTCTTTGTATCGGTGTTGTGCCTATCTTCTACTCACAGAGAATCGGTTTGTTTCAGTGAACCCTGGTGGCTGGGCCCCAGCTGGAGTTCTGCGCGCAGTCTACAAGCGCGAATATCCTAAGTTCCTCAAGCGCTTCACGAGCTACGTGGTTGATCAATGCCGCGGGAAACCTCTCGCCATCTAGCGGCAAACGACTGGTACTATTGGTGACTGAATTTATCACTATAATATGTGGGCGATTATGAAGATATAAAAGCGGCTGATGTACGATTATGGTTTTTACATTTTTATTATTTATTCGTTATATGATCCATTTATAATAGAAATATATTTTTGACGATTTTATAAGTTAACGTCAGTAGAAATCGGGATATAGTAAAAAAAACAGAAGATACACAATGCCAGAGTTATAGCTCTGCGTCATTAAAGCCATTAGTAAAAAACAAAAGGTTTTCTATGTAAATATATTCCTCCATTCATTTTACTGATGGCATTCTATTCGTGTATTGAAAAAAAATTGAACTACAATACTACACGTCTTGATTGATGTATTCATTTAAAATTTGTAATCGTAATATCACCGATTACGGACAAAAAATTACATCTTTATTATCGCCTGTATATTAGGTCTCACTTGTTCTTCAACTGTGTCTGTGCAGTGGCGGGTACATGGTGATAGCATATTTATTACCAAATTTGTAATTATATGGCAATCGATATGGGACTAGATATCTGGTTAATATTCACACATCCGTGAGGGATATGATTGCCTTGACCATAGATTATGGTTAATCTGGTCGCATATTTTTCCATATCTACCCACCAAATCATTATCACTATAAAATTAAACTATATAAACTGTATAAAATCGTGTTGTATAGATTGTTTTTATTTGTACCATGTTTACCTAATGGAGAGAAAAACAATGTTTTATCGGTGTTAAGATAAGCGAGTGAGAAAATTACTACACTTTTATTGCACGTTAAAACTTGGGTTCATATGTTTTTTGTTATTGTAATGTTATATAGATATTTTGTGTACTAATTAATTCCCCATAATCTTGAAGTTACTATAAATGGGTTAATTGCACAGGGGATTTATACTATTTGATTGCCACATTATTTTAGTTCTATTAAATGATATATAAACATTAGGATGTCACTTCTAGCGTCTTCCATCCTTTTCCTCAAAGCCGTTGTGTGGCAGAAGTCAGATTATAAATTTATGTTAGTTGAATTATATAAAGTGTTTACCTCAAAATGTACCTATAAAATAATCGAGAAATATATTACATTTGGTGAGATGGATTCCAAAAAAAAAGCACTGAAGTATGTACCTATATCTTTTTAATGGTTATATCCAGTGAACTATTGTTACCCTGACCGCACGTACGTAATCACATTTTATTTTATTAAATGTAAAGAAACAATCTTTTTTATCACAAGTTGAAGTTCGTCATCTGTAGCAATAATGGAATTAACTGAAAAAATATAATTTGGGCGAATTTTTTATAATTTTAAATTTAACTGTCTCTGCAAGATTGCTCGTCTTCAAAATGCTTTTGGGAGGGACCTCATTTGACCACCGAAAGGCGCTAGTAAGCAGAATTTGTTCATGGCCGTGTTACTCTCCATGATGAAATTTGTGAAGCCTCAACTGCGATCACTGAAGTAAATGTGGCTACTACCAGGCGACTCTTTATGTTGCGCTGTTTTTATTTGCTCATTTCTCTATTGAATTATTATTCTATACTTTTGCCAAATGTACAAGAGGGTAAACTTTCGCATATTAAGCAAACGCATGATTTCCGTAGCTTACCAACCGTTGTAGCAGAACTAGGCCTAAAAATTGTACCGGTGTCGTTACGTGACATTGATCGGAGCGACTCGCGAAGATGGGATTCAATATTTGTTAAAAATATTTTGATACAATATTTGTTTTTTAAAATATGAGATCAAATCACCGCGAGGTGTTAAATTTTTCAAAGATAAGTATTAATGCAACGTTCCAGAAGACTAGCACTTAATCTTGACTTGAAGGGTTGACATTTTAATTAATTAAAAATATATGTTTATAAGAACAATAGAAATAAAATATGGAGAAGAGTTACATATGACGTCATTTATGTATTTACTAGCTGTGCCCGCGACTTTCACGCATAGAATAATTTTTAGTAATTTATTATTATTATACTTCTCTATTTGAATCGGATTTTGTTCACTATTTCATGGATTTTAATTTTTTTTTGCTTTTATTTTTTAATTCTTTCTTTAAAATAAAGGTAGCCTAAGTTACTCCTTATAACATCAGCTATCTGCCAGTGAAAGTCCCGCAAAAATCGGTCAAGCCGTTTCGGAGAAACCGGAATAAACAGACAGACAGACAATAATTTTAAAAATTGTTTTTTTTTTGTTATAAGTACCGTATATACTTTCAGAAGCATTTAGTGAAAAGCTGTTATTTTGACATTACAAACAGATACTTCAATTTTATTTATTTGTATAGATTAGACGATATTAGTGATAGATGTAATAAATGACATAGATGACGTTCACTATCTTGTAATAATGGATAACAAATAAAAGTATTTGCTACCGCGAAAGTCTGCCACGGAATGGCAGAGCGTAGCAAGGGGTTCCCCGCCCCCATGTCGTCAAGCTATAGCGAACACATATTGTAGCTTTGAGATCATCGATCACTAATAAAAAACTGGATACACAATCTCAAGCAAAAGTTTTCTGAAAACTGACGCCAATTGTTTTGACGTAATTCTAGTTGAAATAAATATACATTAATGTAAATTCAACCTTAAATGCATTACATAAAGTTGTATTCACAAAGCTACTTACAAATTAAAAGCGCACCCGAATGTTCGACCGATTTATAATACCGACTTATGTCAGTGTACTGAAAAGTAAGTAGCTAGCCGCCGATCGCTTTCAAGCTGTTTCGTTGCTGAAAATCGTACCCGTCGCTCCGATCGAGATCGCGTGACGTGACATTACAGTCAGAGCGCTTATTAGTTACCACGTTTATAAAACCCAACAACATATTAGTTGGCTAAATGCCTAAAGTTAACACTAATAGATGCCTGTCAATCGTTATAAAATGTTATTACATCTATATTAGTGGTATTTTCGTTTGCAGATTACAAATAAATATGACCCATACTTAACTATACACAATTTGAAAGTTTTAAGCAACGCAACATTTCGCCGGCGAAATTTGTTATGTATACGTGATAGAGCCCTTAGATTATTCACTCTCGTAGAGCCATGCTGCACCTATATTATGGTTGTAGCACGAATAGGTCGGCTCGACCGGGTTAGGATCACGCTCTCACAGAATACCAGCGTAAAATAGCAGCTTAACACTGCTGTGTTTCGTATGGCGAATGTGGAGAGCCGGAGACTTTTTTTACTGGAAACGAGGCATTCCATCTTAGTCTTCAGGGGTGGCAACGCTTCGGCATTTGGATTTTTAATCGAGGATAGATGTGTCTATGGGCCGCAGTATACACTAATCATTAGGTGGGCTTCTTGCTTGTCACCCTTATTCTATAAAAATATGTCTGTATGCATTGGATGATATACGCGATTTTGTCGTTGCAATAACTGTTTGCAGTTGCATAAAATATAAGTTTTCATTGGAATCTGAGAACCCACATTAATATAGATGTATGAATTTTGATTTTATTAAAGTTACATTCAGTGAACCCACAGTCAGGGGTAACAAACTATTTTCAATATTTAGCCTTCTAAGTTTATATTCGTGACGAAGTTATTTTTATTTTATAGACCCAAATTTTAAACTTTTTCTTGAAACGTTACCTCCATATTAGGACATTCACCTGTATCAGGGATCCATTTTATACACACAAATTCTACAAGGGCAAACAAACAGACTCATATCAATTCACTGTAGGCCATACAAATACTTGCTCTGTGAGTGAATCGAACCTACGGCCCGCAGCGCTGCAACCGAACGCTTAGCCACTACGCTACAGAGCCATCAAAACTAAATTAATGGGTAATAAAACAGGGATATATTCGTACTTACATAGTACCGATTTTTTTAAATTGTTGCTATTCGAAATGTTTATAGGAATCTGTTAGCAGAGCTTTATTTCATTCCAGTTCTTTTTATATAATATGTAAAGTCAATGTAGATTCTATCAGAAGGGTTAACATAATATATCGAATTTTCTTAAGAATTTTACTGTAGGTATGTTGTTTTAATTTATGTCTTAATACGATGTGGAGAAGGTTGGCATTCTGATTGCATTTATAATAAGGCAATTTTTGAAATTGTAATAAAGTATATATAGGAGGTCTGGGAACAGTTGTGGTTAAAGCGTATACTGTAATTGTTGGATAGGATGTACGGGAACCAATCTAGGATTTTATTTTTCCAACTGTTAAAGTATGCGCCATAGAAGACTGTTATTGGATTGTCTGTGTATAATATGAAATATGTTTTTTAATTATTGTTTATAATAAAAATGTTGTATCATAAATATATGAAGTTTTATTGACCGTAAGTAATGCAGTCTGATAAACTTAGAAATAAGGAAATCTACGTTAGAACCAGAGTAACCAACACAGCCTAACGTATTAGTAAGATAAAGTGGCAATGGGCCGGCCATATAGCTCGAAGAACCGACAACCGATGGGGAAGTAAGGTTCTCGAGAGGCAGCCTCATACCGGTAGGCGAAGTGTGGGGCGGCTCGCCACTAGATGGAGTGACGACCTGGTAAGATATGCAGGAAGTCGATGGATGCAGGTGGCTCAGAACCGTGCTTTGTGGCATTCCTTGGGGGAGGCCTATGCTCAGTATTGGACTTGTGAAGGGATGTAATGATGATTATGATGTCTGAAAATTATTTTTTTGGACTGGGCATTGACATTTTTGGGAGGGATATAGAGCAACCTCAATTACCAAAAAACTAAAATCAGCCTGCCATGATGCTTCAGTGTGCGTTTTCGGCGTTTACAAGGCCTAGAAATATTTCTAAGGCATGCAAGTTTTCTTACGATTGTTTTGGAACGAAGTTCTTTATCGGATGAACGATTTTACGGATTTGGCGGATGGGGACTAGTCACGACCCCTTCTGACGTAGTGTAGATGGCATTGCCGGCAGTATGGAAGCGAGATGGAATAATATTATCCATCTCCCTCGCACT